GAGGGGACTCAAATCCTATTGCATTATGCTAGCCCTTTTGGAATACAACTGTGGCAACAGTGTTCCTATATATCTTCAAATGACTACTAGTATATGTCCAGAAAGGGTAAATATGTAGAGACGGAAGGTAGATCAGTGGTTGCTTAAGGCTGGAGGAGAAACGAGTTTAGAAGTGATAGCTAAAGGATATGAGGTTTCTTTACAAGATAATGGAAATGTTCTAAAATTCATTATGACGATGGTTAATAATTTTGCAAATGTAGTAAAAACAAATTGCACACTTAAAAAAAAATATTAGTGTGTAGAAGGGGGATAACCCAGATCATAAGAGTTACAAGGGAAGGATTGTAACAAAATCTCACCCATTTTGGGGAACATGGCAGCTACAGCTAGGCCTAAGGAAGCTGCTGGTTTCATTCAGCTGGGGGGTGGGGGAGGGGAGTTGGTATGAGGGAGGCCAACACACCCAGGCCAGGGACTGGGAGGAGGGTCCCCTCCAGCCTTTAGCTTCTGGGTGGGACTCAGCTCTTCCAGACATGGGAGTTTGATTAAGAAACTAATGTGGTGTGGGTATGTGAGAGTAGAGTGATGAGTGAGCAGTTGAGAACGTGAGCTGTCTAATGTTTTATATCATGTATTACCATTTGAAAACCCTTTAAGCAGTGTTTTATAAGCATTAAATCTTCTAACTTTCCAGCTGCATGTTTATATGGGCTGTCCCTCCTTTTCTTTGTTTGTTAAGTCAGACTCATTGTGGTTTTGGGTATTTTTAGGCTAACTAGACATCCCAGAAACCATCTGGTCTCTTGGCAGGGAAATTTTAAGCCAGTTGCTTTTCAGACAATGCTGCTTTCTCTTGTTTATAACTTAATAATGATTTTGGAAGAGAGAGCTTCCCTAGGCATACTGGGTCTGTTCTATGGCAGAGTAGAATAGGATGTAAGGTCAGTGTATGCTGTGGTAGAAAGAGCACAGGTCTTAGAATCATAGAGATAACAGGTTTAAATCTTGGCTTCAGCTGTGCACCTTGGAAAGATCACTTGCCTCAGTTCTTCATAAATTGAGGATAATGCTACGTATCTCATAGGGTTTCTGTATGGATTAAATGAGATACAGTATATTTAAAACACAGCAGAGTGCCTGACCGTTAAGAGGTTTTGGTTTTCTTAAATTGGGGAGAGGCATCTGTACATATTTTTATTCATTTATAAGAAATTTGTTGATGTATCCACTGTATGCCAGGTACTGTGTCGGGATCTGGGATACAGAAATGGATCTGTACTAGGTGGGAAGAATAGTTACTTTCCTTATTTTTCAGCAAAGGATTGTTTGAGCTCTTTCAGTCCTAAGAATGTTATCAAGTTCACTGTTGTTGACTATTCTCACCCAGCATTTTGAAGCCTTTTAATGTGACCGAATACTACAATATCTGTATGTTATATTTGTGGTTTATACAATATTTTCATATTCATGGTTTTTGTGACTTTTCATGTGATGACACGTTGGAGGGATTGAGCTATATAGGATCAAAGGTTTTGTATGCTATTGAAATTGATAGTAATTTGAAATAGATTGTTGTAAATCAAGATATTAATATAATCAATCCACAGGGCAACCATTAAGAAAATAAACTTACACAGTACTATATGTCAATTATATCTCAGTAAAACTGGAAAAAAAAGGAAGAACCTCTAGATTGCAAAGAAAGAAGCAAAACTATCACTATTCATAGGCGGCATGATATTATTAATAGGAAATCCTAAAGAATTCATGGAAAAATAAAACAAGTAATAAATAGCAAAGTTGCAGGATATAAGATCACTGCACAAAAATCAGTTGAATTTCTATACACTAATAGTGAACAATCTGAAAATGTAATTAGGAAAGCAATTCCATTACAATAGCATCAAAAAGAATAGAATAGTTATGAATAAATTTAGACAAGAAGGTGTAAGACTTGTACAGTGAAAACTGTAAGACATTGTTGAAAGAAATTGAAGACCTAAATAAAAGGAAAGACCTTCTGTGCTCGTGGATTAGAAGACTTAATATTGTTTGATGGTAGTACTCCCCAACTTGTTTTGCAGATTCATTGCAGTACTTATTAAAATTCCCATCTCCTTTTTTGCAGAAATGAAAAGCTGTTACTAAAATTCACATATGGAATTGCAAAGGATCCCAGATAGCCAAAACAATCTTGAAAAAGAACAAAGGTGAAGGACTCATACTTTCTGATTTCAGAACTTAATGCAAAGCTACAGCAATCAAGAGAGTGTGGTACTGAAATAAGGGTAGATATATCAATCTTTGGAATAGAATTGAGAGTCCAGAAATAAACTCATATTTCTGATACAGGTGATCAAACACCTGTGATCAGCTGATTTTCAATAAGGGTGCCAAGACCATTCAATAGAGAAAAGAATATTCTCTTTGCATATGTTGTTGGGACAGCTGGATATCCACATGCCAAAGAATCAAGTTGGACCCCAACCTCACATCATACATAAAAATTAAGTCAAACTGGATCAGATACCTAAATGTGAGAGCTAAAACTCTAAAACTCTTGGAGAATTTAGCTGTATAATCACTGCTCTCCTGTAGCACTTGAGTGCTATGGTGTGGTGAACTTCAGTGACTAGATGCTCCTGTGGGTCAAAATGATCTTTTCATCAATCTGTCTCCAGTGCTTTGTATGGATTTGGTACTTAGTAAAATCTGATGACCAAATGAAGAAGAAACAAAGACAGCTTTAATTGTACTGAGGATTGCCCAAAAGATTTTATATTTGAGTGCTGCAGAGGCCCCTTCCTGGGCCTTTTCTTTCACCATAATGAAGAGGTTCTCCCCAGCTATAGGTAGTTGTCATTTGTACAGCTGATAACTTGGGTATGTAGCCAGTGTCAATTCTGTTACTGCTGACAAAATGGATTCATAGCCTGTTTTTTTTAAATTACATTAAGCTAATTCTTAATTTTGGAATTTTAGACCTTAGAGTATAGGTATGGCCTCAGTTTGAACACTTCTAATGACATGGAGCTCATTACCTCCCAAGGCAGCTATCAGTGAACTGCTCTGACTATTGAAAGTTATAAAGTTCTTAGGTCGATCAGAAAAAGTTTTCCTCTAAGTGTCTACTTGTTTCTCCAATGGAATCATGCCAAACAAGTCCTATATTTGAAATAATCATGCTATCTCTTTCAGCTCTGTCCATTCCTCCTATACCCCAAAGTGTATGTTATTCACCCTACCATTTTAATCTGCCATCCAATTTGCTTCTGGGGGCCTACACCCCTGACAGTTTGTGTGAGTTCTAGGAATGCAAATGATTTCAGTACTATTCTAGGTAAAATACAAACTAAGCAGCAGCCCTTTTAGGGTGATATTGAAGTTTCCTACCTGCTCCAAAGTATATCTCCCACTAAATCATACAATTCTCACATTATTTGTTTAGGTTCACTGTTGAATTTTCTTGGTAAAATGCAGACATCTGATGTAGGTTTGCTACCATTTTCTCCTATTAATACCATAGCATAGATTAGTCTAACAGATTGGAGCCATCTAGTAAGGTGATGTGGCCATGAGACATATGATGAGAAGGTTTTGAATGGGAGGAATAACATGGAAATGCTGGAATAGAAGCCATTGTGGGTAGGTAGGATAGGCCTTTGCTAGAGATGTAGGGCATGGAGAGGCATCCTGGGAATATACCTTATTACCAGCTTTATAAGTTTTCTCTGAGCTCATCCTGGTATATTAAAAATTTTAAAGTAAATCTTTTGCTACAAAAAGTAGATATGATATATTCTATTCCAAAGTTAAATTGAACTATTCAAGGAAATAATTTCCATTTTGGATCATCTGCATGGCTGTGTCTACCTTGACTTCTGGAAAATTCTTATTTATCTTTCAAAATACAAATGCCACAAAAAAAGGCTTTTCCAATCCTGCTCTCACTCCATCTTAGGTACTTAATAACTCCCTCTTTTAAGACAATCTGTCTTTTAGGGACACTTTTTGTTGTTGTTATACCATTTCACTGTATTATATTGAACTATTTATTTGTGTGCCTCATTGACTCTGATTCCTCGAAGACGTAGACTGTGTCTCATTCTTCTCTGTATTTTCAGTGCCCACACAGTGATCTCAGCACCTGGCTTATAGAAAGTGTATAATAAATGCTTGTTGAATAAAGTTGTAGCATAGGTATGTATCAGTTGCAAACTTTTGTAAAAGCGTTATTCTCACCAGACATGTATTAGGCAAGAGTTGGAGAGTAGAAAACAAAGGTGAGTAATAGGATAACCAAGAATTTCTACTTAGTCTGTGGGTTAGGTGACAGTCATCTGCATGTAATTCTTACACAGTAAGATTAATGTTATGATATAGTTACTGTGGGATTTGATTGGGTTGTAAAGTCATAATATAATGCATACGTAAGACAAAAAAAATCATTTGTTCTTGAAATTTCTTAAATCACCAGGATTTATGCCTTTGGAATCTCAAATGTAATGGATTACGGG